CCAGCGATCTGCCTTCAGACATCCTATCCTGGACCCCCCCCAGTGGGTGGGTGTTCCTCACGGGATTCAGCCAGCTCTTTCCTGTTTTTTCTCGTCGTTCCTCCTTCCTTTACTTCATCGTCCACAAATTCTTTCCCCCCTCCGCTGTCCACTCTTGCAGAAGACCTCTTTCAGGGGAAACAGAAACTCACCTTTCCTTCCAAGATGCAAAAGCCAAATTCTCTCTCCGCAAGGGGAAGACGCGGAGGAGAAGACCCCCTGTTTAATTCCATAACGTTTTGCTCGAAGGTGGGGGGGGATGAAGTTTTCTCGGTCCCTTTAATTCGTCCACTATGAAAGGAAAATCCTAGAGGGACCGCTTTCCGGCTCGCGGGGGCTTTTGGGAAATGCAGTTCTCAGCTTGAGAAAAATGCGAGAGTAATAATAAATCCTGAAGATTCGGGTAGAAAGAGTTTCTCTGCACCGCCAGCCTCCAGCTCTGTTCGGGATCCTTCCCAGCTTGAACCTTCCTCTGTTATTCTTTTGCTTCCAGGCTTTTCTCGCGGGCAACAACTAGTCTCTCATACTGCAGTGGGGCAGGAGGGTTGCCAGCTCAGGGTTGGGAAACACCTGGAGACTTTGGGGGGTGGAGCCTGGGGAGGGGAGGGACTTCGATGGGGTATCATGCCAGAGAGTCCACCTTCCAAAGTGGCAGTTTTCTCGAGGGGAGCTGATCCCTGTTGCCTGGAGATCAGTTGTAATCCCGGGAGATCTCCAGCCACCACCTGCAGGCTGGCAACCCTACTGGGACACTGCCAGAGACTGCAGTAGCCACGAGCACAAACGGATTTAAAAGGGGATTAGAAAGACTGATGGAGGAGAGGTCCATCACTGGCTACAAGCCATTGGGGGGGGGGCCTAAAAGGAACCTCCATATTCAGATAGATTTCAAAAGCTCCCGTCATCAAATATCAGATGTCTCTGACAAAGGGACCTTTCAGATTCTAGTCCAGAAGCACCCTAGAGACCAACAAAATTTCCAGGGCATCAGCTTTCAAGAGTCAAAGCTGAGCTCCCTTTGTCAGGTTGTACAGAAAAGGATCCACTAGCATCCTAGAAAAGGGTATTTGGGAGGCGGCGGGACAGGAGCCCAGGTGGCAGCCAAGGTGAAGGAGCAATGAGATAGCAGGCAGGACCCGAGAGGGGGGCATCGGCATCATCTAGCAAGCACCGCCCCTCACTTCACACACACACCCCCCGCCAGGGAAGCTCACTGGGTGACCCTAGGACTGTCATTCTCTCAGACACCTGGGTGTAGTGGTTAAGTGCGCGGACTCTAATCTGGGAGAACCGGGTTTGATTCCCCACTCCTCCACCTGCATCTGCTGGATGACCTTGGGCAAGCCATGGTTCTGATAAGAGCTGTTCTTGAAAAAGAGCAGTTTCTGTCGGAGCTCTCTCAGCCCCACCTACCTCACAGGGTGTCTGTTGTGGGGAGGGAAAGGGAAAGGGGTTGTAAGCAATGTTCCCTCTAAGCTGTGGAGTCTTGTGAGCAAAAATTCTACTTTGTGAGCTGCTGGCATTAAAGGTGTGAGCGAGCCATTTGGCTGCTGCATAAATTAGTTTGCTGTGGAGCCATCCTTCCTGAGCTAAGACAAAAACGTGTGAGCCGGAAGCTAAAAAACTGTGAGCTAGCTCACGCTGACTCAGCTTAGAGGGAACACTGGTTGTAAGCCGCTCTGAGACTCCTTTGGGTATAAATCCAATCTCTTCTTCTTCTTCAGCATAACCTACCTCACAGGGCTATTGTTGTGAGGGTAAAATGGCGGAAGAGAGACTGATGTCATAAGGCTTTTTTGGGTCCACACTGAGGGGAAAAGCAGGGTATAGGCAGGCCCGTAGCCAAGATTTTGTCATTCGGGGGCACTGACATCAGAAAATAAAAAATAAATTTTTAATACAAATTTTAAAAACTCACTTTTGCAATATTCGCAATTCTGCCTGCCTACGTGAAAGCCATGCTTGGGGAAGGGGCAGTGGTGGGGAGTCCTCCGGACAGCCCAGGGAGTCAGGAGTCCTCCAAGTAGCCCAGAGAGCCAGGGGCCTGGATGGAAGTCGGGGGGCCTTTGCAGGAAGTCAGGGGCCAGGCCCCAAAATGCCCCACTGTAGCTACGGGCCTGGGTATAGGAATCTAAATAAATAAAATACCCTACAGCCTTTAAGTGGACATATAAAATACCCTACAGCCTTTAAGTGGACATATGAGTGACTGACTCCAGGACTTTCCATACACCAACTAAGCACTCTCTCTCTTAAAGGAAGTTTCAAGTTCTTTTGGCTACTGAAGTGGTACATGTGGGGCTACGTCGGTGTGAGGCACAGTATGAATCCCAGTGTCTGAAGGAAAGGTCTCTGTGGACTGTCCAGCTCTTAGTCTTTATTTATTTAGTAAATAATAGAAAACGGTGCAAAATTAGAAAAACTATACAAAACCACTCAGCTGGGTATCATTTATTCCATTTGCAGAATCCTAACTTTTCAGGGTGCAGAAATTTGTTTTAGAGCACGGGTGTCAAACATAAGGCCCAGGGGCCGGATCCGGCCCATCCAGGGCTCTTATGCGGCCTGTGAGCAACTGATTCAAGGGAGGGAGTGGGCGGAGCCACTCCATTGTGGCTTCAGCACAGCAGAACCACCTCGCCTGCAGCAGTCAAGCATCATGGGGGCATCTGCCAAGCACTGCACTGCTGCCTCTCCGGTCCCCCTCTGTGGGTTTTCCTCTGCCCCCCCCATCCCACCTCAGGGGGCCTTGTGGTGAGGACACACCAACTGGGAGCTTACCGGCTGCTGTCCTTTATACACTTCGTATCTCCAGTACCTGGCATTATGTTTTATGGCACACATGACCCGGCCTGACAAAGAGAAATTTATGTCAGATCCGGCCCTCGTAACAAATCAGTTTGACACCTCTGTTTTAAAGAGTGCTCAGCTGTGCTCAGACTCTTCCTCAGAAGCCGATGGGGGGAAAAATGCACCTCGGGCACTTCCCCCATGTGGGCAGCTCACATAACCAAAAAAACCACTTTCGTTGATTTGTCTGTATTTGTAAGGTGGCCAAAGGATTCTTCCAAGCCAGAGATCACATATGCTTTCCTTTCTTCCTAGATCTTGTGATACATTTTAAACAATAACAACTTTTAAAACAATAATGGCGCAGGGGACGGGGGACAACTACAACATGCAGAACCAGCACCATCTTAAAACGTTTGCCTAAGAGGAAAGTGCTGGCAAGCTGTCTAAAGCTATCCAGCAAACGGGCCTCTCAGGGGAGAGAACTGCCCCGTTACAGAGCCACAAACGAGAGCATCTTACTCTGGGTACCACACAACCTCACCTCCCGGGGAGGTGGGACCCAGACCAGAACCTCCTTCAAAACTGCTTGTATAGCTCTCCTTGCAGATATTCAAGTGTATACTCTATACCAGGGGTCCCCAAAGTAGTTCCCATGGGAGCCATGGCACCCACCAACACCTTTCCTGATGCCCACCAAATGCTTTTAGAAATTGAGCAAGGTTAGGTGGGGCTGGTTTGTATTTTTTTTCCATATGTGCACGTGTGTGTGTGTGTGCATGGGTGTGAGTGTGTGTGCACCTGGAAGTCATGGCGACCTCTGGTGACTGACCCCTACTGGGGGCCTGGAGGATATTCAGAGAGGTGGCTGAATAAAGCCTGCCCCCGCCTCCCGACTGCTGGTATTCCGAGGAGGTCTCCCATCCAAGTACTTGCCAGAGCTGACCCTGCTTAGCTTCCGAGGTCGGATGCAATGTTCCCTCTAAGCTGAGTTAATGTGAGCTAGCTCACAGTTCTTTAGCCTCCAGATCACACATTTTTGTCTTAGCTCAGGAAGGATGGCTCCAGGGCAAACTAATTCATGCAGTAGCCAAATCGCCTGCTCACAACTTTAATGCCAGTAGCTCACAAAGTGGAATTTCTGCTCACAAGATTCCACAGCTTAGAGGGAGCACTGATGACGAGATCAGGCTTGCCTGGGCTATCTAGGTCAGGCTCTTCTGCCTGCAATGTTGAAGAGGTACTATTACAACCTCAGATATGCAGACGATACCACTCTAATGGCAGAAAGTGAAGAGGACCTGAAGAGCCTCTTGCTCAGGGTTAAAGAGGCGAGCGCAAAAGTGGGCTTGAAGCTCAACATCAAAAAAACTAAGATCATGGCATCCGGTCCCATCACTCCTTGGCAAATAGAAGGGGAAGTCGTGGAAGTAGTGACAGACTTCACGTTCCTGCGATCCCAGATCACCGCAGACTGTGAAAGCAGCCATGAAATTAAAAGACGCCTGCTCCTTGGGAGGAAAGCGATGGCGAACCTAAACAGCATGATAAAAAGTAGAGACATCACCTTGCCAACAAAAGTCCGCATACTCAAAGCAATGGTATTCCCAGTAGTCATGTATGGCTGCGAGAGTTGGACTATAAGGAAGGCCGAGCGCCGAAGAATAAATTCTTTTGAACTATGGTGCTGGAGAAGACTCTTGTGAGTCCCTTGGACTGCAAGAAGATCAAATCTGTCAATCCTAAAAGAAATCAACCCTGACTGTTCCCTGGAAGGCCTGATAATGAAACTGAAGCTCAAATACTTTGGCCACCAAATGAGAAGGGAGCACTCCCTGGAGAAGTCCCTGATGCTGGGAAAGATTGAAGGTCAAAGGAGACGGGGACGGCAAAGGATGAGATAGATAGACAGTGTCATCGATGCAACGAACATGAAATTGAGCCAACTTCAGAGGACGGCGGAAGACAGGAGGGCCTGGGGTGAACTGGTCCATGGGGTCGTGAAGTTGGACTCGACTGTGCGATTGAACAACAACAAAAATAACCTCACTCTGTAACATGTGGTTGGCTCCACCTCCCGCAGCAGCCATTTTGTGCTTGGCTCCACCTCCTGCAGCAGCCATTTTGTGATTGTGCCCACCACCCTGTTTCAGAATTCCAAAGGTGCCTGCAGGCTCAAAAAGGTTGGGGACCCCAACTCTATGCTAAAGGATTTCCCCCAAATCCCTGGCATTTAGAGGGGTGCTATCCCGTATGAATTTTCACATGAGTCTTAAGTTTTGAACTCTGGTTGAAACACTTCTCACACTCGGCGCATTTGTATGGTTTAAGCCCCTCGTGGATCCTGATGTGGGCAACGAGGCTGCCTTTCACGTTGAAGGTCTTCCCACAGTCCGAGCATTCAAACGGTTTCTCCCCTGTGTGGATTCGCTGGTGCCTGACAAGGTCAGAGTTCATCTTGAAGGACTTCCCACACTCTGAGCATTTGAAGGGCTTCTCCCCCGTGTGGACCCTGTGATGCCTAACGAGGTCATAGTTCATCCGGAAAAACTTCCCACAGTAGGAGCATCCGTACGGTTTCTCGCCTTTGTGGATCTGGTGATGCCTGAAGAGCCCGTACTTAGTACTAAAAGATTTGCCACAGTCTAAACACTTGTACGGTTTCTCTCCTGTGTGGGTTTTGTGATGTCTGATCAGTTTATCCTTCATACGGAAAGATTTCCCGCAGTCCAAGCACTGGTATGGTTTCTCACCCATATCAGTTGTCTCGCGTACGATGAAGTTTGAGCTCTGACCGTATCCAGCTGAGGTCACTTCTTTGATGGTGATTTCACTCAAGTCCGGATAGCTCCCCCCGCTAGAAATGGATTTATCTGGCCTTATCCCAGGGCAGGTTCCCTCTTGCCTCCATACTCCACGTAGACCCACAGTCGGCTCACAAGACTTGACGCCGTTCTCTCCGGCTCTTCCTTCTGAAACTCCACATGGTCCACCTTGCTCAGAACTTTCCTGGCGATCAGCTTCCTCCTTCCTCGTGAATCCCTTACCTAAAGTTTAGGGAGAGGTTAAAAATGAGAATTTCCACAGTGGTGGCAGAAAGTGCTGTTAAGCCGCAGCCGACTTATGGCGACCCCTACGCAGGGTTTTCGAGAGAAAAACAGAGGTGTTTTGCTACTGCCTCTGCATAACAACTCTAAACTTCCTTGGCGGTCTCCCATCCACACACTAACCAGGGTCAACCCTGCTTATCTTCTGAGATCTGACAAGACTAGGCTAGCCTGGGCCATCCAGGTCAAGGCAAGGATTTCCACAGTGGTCTAGAAAACCCAAGGCACAGGCAGAGCATCAAAAAGACAATGTGGTGGCCTTCATGTGCCACGGGTGGAGCCTCCTGCCATACTGTGTCACTTTCCCCCCTGCTTTTGGCAGCAGGGCCAGCCCCACCTGGGAGGCAGATCAGACAAGAGATGGTTGGCTTTCCCAAATGAAACTAGAAATCAAAGAGTGTTTGGTGCTCTGGTTATTTCCATCTCTATGTTCATTCTCACAGTTGAGCACATGAATAGGGTTGCCATCCCCTCAATGGGGACGGGAGTTCCCCCGATTTCCGGGGCCCCAATCTGCTTGCTGGCCAGCTGCCGGCAGGGGAAACCCTACCCTCAAAGAGCTCCCCAGTGTCAGACATGACAGGTGCGATGATGTCACCTGGAGATGATGTCATTGCATTGGGCATGTTGCCAGGGGACGCTCTAGCACTTGGCCTAAAGCTCTACGGTACCATAGAGTTTTTGATCAAATGCTAGAGCTTTTCCCCAGCAACGTGCCCAGAGTGATGGTGACATTATTGCAGCATTATTACAGCCCAGAAGATCAGTGGCTGCCCTCTCCCTTTCCTGGAGGAATTGTATAGTTCTCGATGTTTGAAAAAAGCAAAGAACATTCTGCAGGACTTGTCACATCCTGAACATTCCCAGTTTGAACTGCTGCCTTCGGGCAGAAGATATAGGACAATTAAAGCAAGGACAAATAGATTAAAAAATAGTTTTTATTCGAGAGCTATTATTGCCTTAAATGCTGTATGAAATTGGAATTTGGGTGACATTGGTGGTTTTAAGTTGTTATGTGAACCTTAAGGGAGTTATGAGACAGTAGTGAATGGTGCGTGAGTGTATATGAATATTGTTGTAGATCACCGAAATGATTGCATCTTTAATTTCGTTGTACTATGTACAATGACAATAAAGTATATTATTATTATTATTATTATTATGCTTCACGCGCGCATAAGAAGATCCTGGGAAGGAGCCTCCATTTCCCCACCGCTAGAAGGTACCAACCTGGCAACCCTATCATGAAGCTGCTTCATACTGAATTGGACCCTTGATCCATCAAGGTCAATATTGTCTACTGAAGCTGGCAGTGGCTCTGTAGGGTCTCAGGCTAAGGTTTTTCACATCACCTCCTACCTGATCTTTTTAGCTGGAGATGCCAGGGGTCGAACCCTCGACCTTCTGCATTCAAAGCAGGTGCTCTACCAGAGAGCAATGGCCCCTTCTCAACCCCCTGCAGTCTTTATTAGGGTAACCAGCTGAGGTCTAGCAATCCCTGGAAGACTGGAAGCGTTTGGGGGGGGGGGGGTGAAGCTAGGTACCATGTGGCATTGCAGTCACACAATGGCACTTCCTGTCAAAACCAGAAGTGACATCACCTGTTACGATGATGCTCTAGACCATCACGGTGACACATGATGTCACTTCCAGTCACACAACCAGAAGGGATCTCATAGTATAATTGCCACCCCCCTCCCATTTCACCCACGGCCGTACTGGGCAGCAGATGAGGGGGCAGGAAGTCTCCCACTGTAGCAGGAAGTCTGACTACCTGGCTCTTTCCCCAGGAAAAGCAAAAACACAATGAATTGCACAAAGCAGGTTCTGCAAATAGGTTCAGTTTACATAACTGTCAGTTGTCATATTCAACTTTTCTCAATGCAGATTTTTTTTTAAATACAGAGAGTGCCTAAACTCTACCACTATACTTACCCACCAAGGTGGCATTGCCTTCAATCTCTTGCTTCACCACATTCCAGATCCGCCTCTGGGCGTTACCTGGGGATGCCTCCTCTTCACGGGGGAAGTTCGCTACCACCTCCTGGGACAAATCAGTGTCCTGAAATGACAAATGTAATTTGATTCAAATATTAATATTGTGTAAGAAGGTGGACGCTCTGCAACGCCAGGACACCAGAGGCATTTATTGATTTGATTTCTATCCAGCCCCCAGAAACACAGAGTGGTATATGTGGCTTGTTCTCCCTTCCCTATTAACGTCACGGCACCCCATGAGGTAGGTTAGCCTGAGAGAGAGTGACTCATTCGTGATCACCCAGGGAGCTTCATGGCAGTGGCAGAGTAAGCCCAAGTTCCCCAGTCAAAATAGTGAGACCTGAGTTTTGGCTACTGTGTGACACAGAGCGTTGGACTGGATGGGCCATTGGCCTGACCAAAGATGGCTTCTCTTATGTTCTTGTGTTCTACTGCTATAACCACTACACAAGCACTGCTAGTAGCCACGCCAGACCAAGATGAAGCCTCCTTGTCCCTCCTTTTCTTTCCCCATCTTCTTTTTATGTCAATTTATCATCCACTCTCTATTAATCATCCCTGTATTTATTTGCACCTATTGAGACTTTGTTCTACACTGAGCTGTTTTGTTTTGTGTACATACACACACACACACACAATTATTTTAATAATAAAAAGGAGAATAACCTTTCACCTATTGAACTTCTGCTTCTTGTATAGCTTTTAAAAGCATAGGAACGAAGTCAGCAGAAACCTTCATAAACTAAACATCTTGCTCTTTGCCCAGTCTCTCGCCATGGATTGCAGGATCATGCATGCATCACAACAGAAGCCACTTCAGTAGAGGCATTTCCCTCATTGTGAGAGAAGGGGGGGTGGATACCTCTCCTAGTGTGGCACTAGAAGAGGTAGTCCCTTCAGCAAAAGAAAGAGGAGAACTGCCTCTTAAGTCTCTCCCTGAAGGAGAGGTCTCTCCTGTGTGAGAGGAACAGAATGACCTTTACAATTGCCTTAGAAGAGGCATTCCTTCCTCATGAGAGAACAGGGGAAATAATCTCTTCCAGAATAGCATTCCCTCATTTTGTGAGACAAGGGGGAATACTTCTTCTAGTACTGCACTAAACGAGGTATTCCGTTCAGCAAGAGACAGGAGGAGGAATGTCTCTTAAGTCTCTATCAGAAGAAGGAGGCATTCCTTCCTCATGAGACAACAGAGGAAATAACCTGATCCAGAATAACATCAGAAGAGGCATTCCATCTCCTGTGGGAAACAGGGGTCTATATCTTCTAGTGTAGCATCTAGTGTAGAATTCCCTACAGCAAGAGATGGAAAGAGGGATACCTTTTAAGTCCATATCAGATGAGAACTCTATAATATAAATTGTCCCTAAAAGTAATTTGAAGATGTATTAGAGATCTTGATTAGGCTGAAAGTTATACACCTCTTTAGTACTGTTGTTATTATTGTTGTTTTTTTTGTTTGTAGGAAGGATTCTGATATATCAATATTTAATGTGAATTTAATGGATATGAATTGAGAAGGGAATGGGTGTAGAATGGTTATAGAAATCTCTAACTTGCTGATTATGATGTGTATTGAATATAAGTGGCAGGTAATATCCTAAATTATTATTTGGGTTTTTTTTTAATTTATTGAATCATTTTGTTTATTTTTGTTTAAGCCCTGACACGAATGAGATGAATTGTGCTGGTATTAAAGTATAACTTGGACTATTTAGGGATTAAAATTGAATTAAATTTGGGTATTTTGATTTAAGATTAATGTAGGTTATAGTAACAGGATGTGGATGTAAACTTTGCCTAAACTCTAAATGAAATTTGAACACTTTGGATAATTATAACAGCTCCATAGTAAATAAACAATTTTAATATGTAAAGAAAATAGTTACTATGAGTTTGAATTGTTGAAAATTTATAGGTATATTCGGGGGAGCAGTAGTATTCTAACACATGAAATACATGAATAGTAATATTATGGGGATAAAAACAGTTGAATGAGGTGTTATGATTAAGGAGTAATGTACCGGCTTGGTATGAGGTTAGATGTGCTCAAAAATTGGTGAACTAGGTGTATGTTTGTCGGTGTCTTTGTTTGTATGTTACAATTTGTGAAAACTAATAAATATATTTTTTTTAAAAAAAGAAGAAGTTCCTCTTATGTGAGAGAAGCAGAATACCTTTTACAATTGCCTTAGGAGAGGCACTCCCTATTGTGCACAACAGAGAAGGAATTTTTTTTAAAAAACATACCACAGGGACAGCACCACACAACAGGAAAAGGCAGAAATCCAGTTGGTTCAAGAGACAACATTCACTGGCCTTTGCAACAGTTAGTAAACTCAGCCTAGTAAACTTCTTTGAGATTAAAAACTTGGTTCCACATGCAAACTATTTCTTCTTCTTTTTTTCATTTCCTGATGAAAAGATAGCTGGAATTGTGCTGGGATTTCTAACGCCAGTAGCAATCTGTTTGTCACCTGCACCGGTTGGTTTTCTGTCTTCCTTCCAAGAAAGTGCCTGCCCAATTAATTAGGACCATCACTGTAATTAATCAAAAAGATATTTAATGGGTTAAATGCTGCAACCTCAATCTGGACTAGCATAACCCAAGCGGACCCTCACCTGCTGTTCACATCTCCTGGCTTCCCTCTGGGTCAGCACGAAATCCTCGGCCAGGGCCACCACTTGGGCACAGCTCTGGGCCCCCCGTTCTTTCACCCAGCTCCGGATCTGCTGGGGCAGGATGGCCAGGAACTGCTCCAGGATCACCAGCTCCAGGATCTCCTCCTTGGTGTGTGTCTCTGGCCTCAGCCACTGACAGCCAAGCTCCCAGAGCTGGCTGAAAACCTCTCGGGGGCCCTCAGCTTCATGGTAGCAGAAGTGTCTGAAACGCTGGCGCCTCACGTCCACTTCCTCAGTCGCCCTCTTGTCCGTCGCTTTCCCGTAGTCCCCTTTGTCTCTTGGGTCATCCTTCCCCTGTTTCTGCTGGGCTGCTTCTCGGAGACGCATGAGAAACCCTTCGCTGGACTGCTGGCTGGCCCTGGTGGCTCCCTCATAGGGATCCAGGGGAGTCTTTGCATGGCCCCATGAAGCAAATTCTGGCAGCGGTGGGATCCCCGTCCCTGAGTGAGGGGACTCCATTGCCTTGAGGAACGCCTGCCACTGGGTTTCCCAAATCTGCAACAGGCCCTCATGCCCCACGGGTCCGCCCTGGGCTTCTGCAAGCAAGGCCCCTCCAGATCCCGTTTCAGGTTTAGGGTCTCCTGGACTTCTCTTCTCCATTTGCATCCCCTGCTCTGGTTTTGCCTGGAACCAGAGCTCTGGGGCGGAGCGTTCTCTCTCCTTCCCTTCAGCCATTTCCCTCGGAGGGGAAGTGATTTGAAATCAGCCTAGTCCCTCTGTCTGTTGTTTCCGTAAAAGCGGGGAAAACATCCAGCATCTAACTTTGCATGACCCGGCAACTCTAAATGACAGATCGATACTCTCGCTGCAATATCAACAACGGCGTGGAAGAGGGGAATTTCCAGGAAGCCTTCCTTTCTGACAGGGGAAAAAATGAGATAAGTGAGGAATCGTCGAGGCAGCACCGGTACAATTAAGTTCAGGTCAGGGCACAGTCATACGAATTCTGATCCATCAGTTAAGAAATTTTACAGGCCCCCACAACCACCTTGGCTTGGACATTTTTACTCCTTCACACAATAAATAATTAACTGACGGTGCCATCCTAAGCAGAATTACACCCTTCCAAGGCCCGTGACTTCGATGACTTTGGAAGCATTGTTACTCCATGTAGGATGGCACTGTGAATTTAATATTTTACTGTCAGTTTTAAATTCTTTTTGTCAGCTGCTTTGAAAAAGGACTGGGACGGACTGGCTAGGTTCAGCCTCTCCCTAAGAGCAGCCAATTAGAGTGGATGGAACGTTGCGAGAGAGTTGAAAAACAGCAGTTGAAAACGACAGTTTGGGGTTAGCAGCAGAGAAGTAGACAGCTTATGCACTGAGGTGAAAAGGGGATTTTTTTTTTTAAGTTTTATTTATATAATT